CTATGCTTACATGGGGAAGTCATGAGAGAAGGTTAAATTTATTAAGAAACTTCTTTCCCTTAAAGAATGCTTAGAGGGTCATTAACCTTCTGATAGTCACTTTTCTGGACAAAAAAAGGCAGAAATAAGTTAAACATATTTTTCACTTATTCAAGCCTTCTTCCTGTCGGATAAGTCTGCTGTGCACGCAGTGATAGCGCCTGCCACGGTACCACGTGGTGTTGATCCCGAGGTGTGTGAGAGTGGGCGGGAGGCGGTGCGGGGGACAAAGCACCCAATCGAAGGTCCAGTCATGCAAGGATATGAACAGCTTCGTGACGCGGGTCGTGGCGACTGCTCTGAACGATAGGTGGCTGTCAATATAGGCTGTCGTGAGCGGTGACCTAGGCTCAAGGGCGGCCGTGGGGCTCGACGTGGTTTCTGGGAACAGGTCGGGCTTGTATATCAGGTGTGCGTACCGCAGGCTAGGGAAGCGTGCAATTAGCTGCAGTTGTACTAGTATTTGATCCATTGAAGGGTCGCCCAGTGTAGCAGGAAGCGGGAGGCTGAGGTGGCCGAACGTCAGGTTTGGAAGCTCCAGCTCGTCCCAGATAGGGAGCCCGATGAGCGTGCGCAGGTTCGGCGCGCTGCGTAATAGCGAGAACACGCGGTCGCGGTATCTGGGTCCATTCTGGAAGTCTTCCTCCACTCCTCTGACGTCTGCGCCGACCCAGCAAAGGCGGCGCAGAGAAGGACCGCATGCATCGCGGAGCGCTGTGAGAATTCCCCGAGAGCGCCAATGTGGGAGCTCCTCCGACAGTTCGGGGGTCTCCAAGATTTTTACAACGAAGGCCTCTAGGCATGGCGTGTGGGAGATGATGGACGCCAATAGGGCCATCGCATGTTGCGCTCCATGCTCGTGGGCTGCTCCCATTGCGACATCCAGCCGGAGTGCATGCGCGCCGAGCTCAGGCCTGCGCTCGAGCGTTTCCGCGAGCACATCAAGTGTGGTCGGGCTACCGATCCAGAGCGCGCGGTACAGCAGCGGCGTGGCAAGTGCGTACCACACGCGGCAGACACGCACGAGCGCACGGCGCGTAGCGAGTCTCGCGCAACGCCGCGAGCCCGGTGTTGCCATTCATGTGGGCGATTTTCGTGGTGGGGCGGTCAAAGGCGTCAGTGATGTCCGCGTCGAATGCACCCGGGGCATCTGTTAAGAACTGGAAGATGTGGAGCAGGAGCTCGGGCGGCAAAGCGTGGGCGGTGGGTATGGGTGGCATCGATGCTGGCGCGCTCTATGGGCTAGGAGCGTTGTGAGTCAATAGAAGATCCATCGTGTGGGAGAGGACCATCGTACCTGGATCCAGGTTAGAGAAGGTTTGCAGAACCAACAAGCTGTTGAACTTCAAGTTCCTCCCGCGGACCGAAGTAAATTACTATGCTCGCAAAATTCCCACGGTAGCCATACCGCACACCGCGAGTCCTGCAGAGTCTGCCCACTGTCACGGTCGCTCATGGCGCTCAGCGCTGCAGGCCTTCTCGACCAAGACCCTGCGCACAGCGCCGATGAACGGGAGGCGTACGAGCGCAAGCACCTCTTCTCCAAGTCATCGCAAGCGCCACGGCACACACACTGCCCGCATATAGCCGCACCTATCTACCACACCACCCTACAACGCCGCTCTTACATATTGCGAGCACTCCGAGGCACACACAGCCCGCTGGCACGCCCCTGCCTCTCCTCCCGCTCGCCGACAAAAAAGACTAACAAATAAACAGCAGCTACAGAGCAACAACAACACACACGCCGAACGACGTCACAGCCAGCCAACTCAACAATACAGCACGCAGTCCATCGCCGACCACCCCCGCCCCAGCATCGCCGTCACGGCGGCGCGAGGTACCCGCGCCGCTCGCGCCAGCGCTCGGCCGCGTCGGACGCCTCGCGCGCGCGCTTGCGCCCCGCGCCGGGCGCTTGCGCGGGCTCGCCAGACGCAAGCACAAAAAAGCGCGACACGGCGCGGCGCACGACGGCGTCCGCGATGCCGGCCTCGAGCACGGTGGGCGCGGGCCCGCGCGGCGCGCCGGGCGGGCGCTTCTTGTACTGCGTGCACGTGAGATAGACGGGTAGGTAAGCGGGAAAGCGGGCGCGGGCGGAGGGGCGTGCGCACGCACGGTCTCGAGCTCGGGCTTGCCGCGCCAGCGCGCAAGCGCCTCGCAGAAGCGCAGTGCGGCGCGCTCGACGGGCTCGGCGGGGTACTGCCACGCGAGGTCCTCCATGTGCGTCGAGAGGTCGGGCGTGCCCGCGGGGACGTCGAGGAACTGCGCGCGCGGGCGGGCATCGTCAGCGTGGTTAGTACGGGTGGCGTGCAGTGCGCGGGACGCACCCGTGCGAGGCGCTCGCTCATCTCGCGCGCGTACTCGGCCTCGCCGCTGCTGCTCTCCCCCTGCGCGTACCCGGACCCGGGACTCTCGTTCGGGCCGCCCGCGCCGCCGCGCCCGGGGAAGAGCACGCCGACGGCGTCGGGCAGCTCCGGCATACCGTCCGGCTCGAACTCGGCGTACACGTCGTCGGGCGTGCCCACGCCCGCCGCGGGGCCCGCCCCGCCAAGCCCGACGCCGAGCAGTACCTGCGCGGGCGCGAGCCCCGTCCAGCCCGCACTGAGGTACCCCTCAAGCACGGCGCGCGTGAGCAGCCCGGCGAGCAGCAGGTACCACTCGGCGGTCGGCACGAGCGCGCGACCGCCCGCCTCGCGCCCGAGCGCGAGAGCCGCGAGCGCGGATAGCCGCACGAAGCGCGGCACGAGCTCTGCGAGCCGCGTGTTGCCCGCGCCCGTCCCGCTCGCGCCGGTCGCGGCCGCGCTCGCGTGCGTCGCCTCGTCGAGCGTGGGCACGCCGCGCCGCAGGAGCGTCCCCCCGGGCCCGGGGCGCGCGAGCCCGCTGCCAACGCCTGCGCCCTCTGCGAAGCCGGACAACCCCCCGCCGCCACCGCCGCCGTGCGGACCCGGCACAGCGCGCCGCGGACGCGCAGCCACGGCGCGGCCGGGCGCGACACAGATCTCGCACGCATGATGCAGGTGGCGCGAGCAGCGGAGCGCCGGGGGCGAGTTGGCGGTGCTAGGGTCCGCGCCGGCGACGAAGAGCGCGCGGGTACGCGCGCTCGGCTCGGTCGACGACGGCGCGGGCATGATGGGCGGGTAGGTCAGGCTCGAGGGCTGCGGGCGCGTCAGTTGGCGGGGGGAAGCGGGCGAGGGAGGCGCGCGCACGGAGAAGGAGGAGGGCGTACTTGGCGCCGCTGTGGCGGCGCTCGAGACGGCGAGGAGGGGCACGAGCGCGAGTGGCAGCGCGGCGAAAATCGAAGAGGCGCCGGAGGAGGAGGGCGCGGCTGGCGTGGACGGCGTCTCGGTCGCTGCGGGCATGCTGCTGGACGCGCCGGACGTGCTGCGCGACGTGGATGCGGCCTGGATGTGCAGGTGGCGGGGCACGGGCGCCTGGCGGGCAAAGAGGTCGTTGATCACGGTCGTGAGCGCGAGACGGAGGCGCACGCCGTTCGGGAGGACGTGCTGCCCCGCGGGGGGCGCAGGAATGGGCGGATGTGCGGGGGGCGCGTCTTGAGGGACGGGCGCGATGGGCTCGTCGTCAGGGAAGGGGTAATCGCGGGGCGGTTGCTCGAGCATGCCGGTGACGACCTTCTCGAGGGCCTCGGCGCGCTGGCGGAGGCGACGCGCCAGGGGGAGGTCCTGGCGCGCGATGCGCGAGTCCTCCTCGTCGTCGTGGGGGTGGTCTGGGCCACCAGCGCGGGCACGCAGGGAAGCCGAGTCGGCCTCGGCGTCGCTAGGCGCCTCGTCGTCCTCGTCCCACTGCTCGGGGCGCTCGCGGTGGGCATAGTTGGGTGCGCCAGGCCCGCCGGTGCGGTCTGTCATGGCGAGCTCTGCGCGTGCCTGGGCAAAGCGGGTGCGAGCGTGGACCCAGAGGAGGTGGTCGATGATGAGGGTCCGGGTGGACTTTTCGCGCGGGGGGATGGAGTGGAGATGATGGGCATGTTTGTGGGCGGGCGGGCGAAAGGCGGCGGCGAGGGCAGGAGTAGAGGAGGGCGGAGGCGGTTGTTGTGGGTGGTGGTGTTGGATTGGCTGCTGTGGTGATTGGAGGTGATGCTGTTGCGGGATGGGTGGGCCGGCGGAGTTTTGTGTGGACTGAAGAACGGTCGAAGGCGGGGCGGGCAAGTCGCTGCTGGAGAATGTCATGGGCTCGGTGACGCGGGGCAGGCGGACGGCGGGTTGGTATTGCGGGGACGTGTCGACCGGCCAGCGCAGATTTGAAGGGAAAGAGAACGCACAGCTCAACCAACACTCGCCTTCCGACCTCCTCCGGCCGTTCTCGGGCGTCTCTTTCTCTTTCATTTCTTTCTCTCCACTCTCTGAAACACTCCCGCCGTCCATCCACAATCTCTACCGCACGCACACGTCCGATAAGCTACCCAAGTAATCATCTCTCGCCTCGCGTCATCGCCTCTCATTAGCTCAATGTCTGCCTCGCGGTCTCGTCTTGTCTGGATCGCCCCCGGCCACGTGATGCCACACGTTACATAGCCGACGTGGAACCTCCCGCCACCCCCGCGCACAACAGCGAGCTCGCACCCACTCGGACAACAACGTCACCGCGACTCTTGGCGGAATTGCCGCGTTTCAGACCACTCGCAAGATTGGCTCATGCCTCCTCATGCATACCGCAACTCGCCGACGCAGATCAGCCCGAGGGTCAACTTGGCGCCTCTTTGCTTCGGAACATCTTCAGCGCGCCCTACCATCATACGGTTTGACATCCTCGGGAGACGAAATATCACAGCAGCGCTGACGACATTCCCGCCTGCACTCGGGATGACTCGGACGAGCACTGGGCACGCACATTCGCTCCACTCGACAGGCCCAGCTTCGGCTTTGGACGTCAGCTTGGTGGCGCTCACGGCTAAGTTACTTTGCCGCTCCCGAGACGGCGGGCGGCTATTTGCCACGTGGAACATCGCCCGCCTAGCTCAATCGGATAGAGCGTCAGACTCTTACGGCGGTGCGAGCAGCGCTGAGTTGCGATCTGAAGGCTGCGAGTTCGACCCTCGCGGTGGGCTAGTCTCTTTTTCATTTCCTCTTCCTCGCGCCAAGGAATGTTTTTTCTTCTTTTAGGGCCGATCGGCAAACCCGAGTAGAGTCATTGGGATGGGATTTCCCCGCCAAAAAACCTACCGACCCATCCCGATTTCATATCGACTAGACGGGTCATGAAGCTCTCTGGCGGGAATCCCATCCCAACCCGACCTCGACGGGCCCGCGCTGCCGATTAAGCCTAGTGGCACGTGAGCCCGCGCGCTCAACATACTACGTTGAGACTTCAATTTGTCGGGGACAACGACGCCACCATCATCTTGGCAGCCCACGCTTCTCGTTTCCGCGCAGGGTGATATTGGCTACCATGGTTCCGGAAGTTACCTACTGTGGGATCCGTGCGTGTGGTGCTACGGTGCTCTGAGAGCGTCCATTCGTTTGTATCCGCCTCTCCAAGCTCACAACCACGGGAAACCGCTCTTGTGCACTGGTAAATTTATGCTCGGCACAGAGTTTCGCCTGGGCCAGAAGCATCGAGACGTCGAAGGAAGGGCGCGAGCTGCGCGTTCCATGGCGGTCTCTTACGCACAGGTGTGTTTGACACGGTCGCCCCTAACTGTCTCCAAAAACTAGGAGCGATCTATGTCCCCTCCCAACTAACGACCACTACAACTTCCCAGGACGACCCTATTTCGTCATTGCCTCTATCCATTCCGGAAAATAGCCCTTTTTTGATCTGGCTCGCAGGACGAGGCGAGGCACTTGCTCACCAGTCGCACGCCTCACAGTGGAAGACCGCACCCAAGCGCAACAAATCATCCCGCGCCCTGCGACGAAGGGCCCCGCCTCAGGAAGAACACCGGAGATCCCGCTTTTGCACGCGAAAGAACGCCGTGGTCCATGCTGTTTATAGTGTTCTACCACACAAAAATAAATCGCTCTCACGCCTCGATGCTACTCGTACTACGATGGGGTGCTGCGGCAGACCAGCACGATAACGCCGTCCCCTAAATCTCAACATCATCCGTCGTCTTTCCCTTCTTCTTTCGTCTCGCTATTTTCGCCCCCAACATGCCGTCATAATCCCTCCAGGTGTTCCGCCCTGCGCGTACGCACGCTTCCTCCATTGTGGGCTTCTCCGGAACATATCTGCCAGCAACCACACAGACTTGCGCACCTGCCCCTCCAACCACGCCAGAAGCACATCACGCACCCGCCACATCGCCAGAGACGTCCTACTGCGCTTCTCACGAACCAACACAGGCCGTGCCCCTGCAAGGCACCGAACGCCTGCGCGCACCTGGCAGAAGCACACGTTGGCGGCTTCTCTTACGTCGTACACATAGGCCCGCCGCCATGCCGCGGGAGGCAACCGTGCCTCCGCACGGCAGCGCGGCCGCAGGCACCGTCAGCACGTGGTGTGGCCGCGCATCGCGTGACGCGCGGCGCTCGGATGGCGGCCGCGCCTTTGCGTCCCGCATTATGTTCGCGGGGTCGGGTCTCCCCGCTGCGGCGGGTCAGATGGCTGTGCGCGGGGACGGGGGGCGATTAATGATTGGCTGTGCGAGGCTTATCCTTGGAGGGCCTTCATGACCGTGCGCCACATGAGAAGCCCCAGATGCGTGCGCGGGTTCTTGCGAACGGCGAGCGCGTCCTCGACGAGGTGAAACGCCGCAGGGCTCGAAGCTCTTCCACCTGTGCCAGTGCGCACTGTGCGTTCCTCCGCGCCGGCGCGGCGGGTCGGGTTCTAGCTCGGGCATTTGGAACGTGCTGCCCATACGCGGAACAATGCTGCACGGCCTTCGCGCCCCTTCGCATCGAATCGCCCGCGCGCGGCGCACCCAGTCCTTATCCGCGGGGGCCGCCCGCAGCCACTGGGAACCAGGACTAGTACGACTCGGTCCCAGCGCCTCCAGCCGTACATACATAGTACAGCGCAACGCAACCGGGCGCTGCCGACGCTGCTGCCCCGCGCAACCCCCACCCAGGCGCGCCGCCGCTGATGGAATCACAAGCCAGAGATCAGCGCGGCACTCTCCGTCGGCGCGTGGGAACGCGCACAGCACGAGGCACGGCGAAGCGTAGCCAGGAGGCGCGCGCGCAGCTGAAGGGGCGCCACGAATAGATAGCGTTGGTAGTGGCGCAGATAAGGTCCGCCTTGCAGCCTTGCAGCCTTGCATTCCGCTCCCTTCTCCTTGTGTGGTATGGTCACGGGGCCGCGTGGAGGTGAACCAGGCGAGGGCGCCACTGCTCCAGCACCTGCTGGACTTTACTCCTTGCGCCAGCAGCCCCGGCGACAAGCCAAGCTACCCATCTACCAATTACCGTATGTGCGCTCGCGCATCCGCCTGCCCATCTAATAATACCTGTTGTGCACTTTAGGTGTTGTTCAATGGGTGGGCTCGCGATCCAGCGCCTTGGGCATCCTATACACGGCCGCGCGCAGGCGCTCCGCGGGCACGCAGAGGCGTCCGCAAATAAGGACGGTTCCCACTCGCCCAGCTGATACGATCATGCCTCCTCGCGTCATCTGCCCCTGCATGCGTTCCCAGCGTCAGGGCCGCCCGATAGCGGTGTCATACCCTGAAGATGCACGCATACATACAAACACGCTAGTTGCGCTGGCTGCATCGGGCGGCGGGATTCCTTGTTTCGCGATCGTGTGCACTGCCCAGGCGCAGGCTCAGCTGACTCGGGGAGCCTCGAGGAGATGGAAGCGGAGAAGACAATAGAGGGCTGCTCCATTGCCTGGAACGCAGCCCGCCCGGAGGGTTTAAGGCTATATGTAAGGCGATGATCAAGACGTGGAGCGGGACGTGCGATTGCAAAGCGGGTGCGTGCTTAATGCTCCCGGTGGCGGGTGAGAATGATCAATGGCGTGCTCGCACGGACGTCGAGCCTGGCGCGTTCCACAGCGCTCGCGCGCGATAACGTGAACGCCAGGTGCAGTGCCGGCACCAGCCCGCCGTTAGAGCCTGCGCGCGCCCGCGCATATAGCCCTGTCGCTAAGAACCCCCGAGGAGTGGGAGATCGCGAAGCCCAGGGCTGGAGGAAGTTTGCTGGCAGGTGGTGCGCGCAGCTGCTCCAAGACCACCACCGCCTTGCTTCTAGCCGCCGCCACACTCCGCGCAGGCCCCATGGGCTTGCACACGAAGCGTGTAGTTGCCATATATGACCTCTATTCCCTCCACCGTGGTCATCTGCGCGAGCAGCTGCGGTACTTGTGCCAACGATGATGGTGGGGGCGTCGCCGCCGCCGCCGCGCCGCACCGGCGCTGCGCTATCGTGTGCAGTAACGTAAGGTTTTGGGTGCGGGGGCGGTCTAGGCCACGGCGGGCGCGCCAGGCTGCCGGGCGGGCACGGGGCGGGTCACGCGGGTGCGGGGCGGCCCTGCGACTGGGCAGGTGCGCCTGGCCAGACGGCGGGGCCCGCGGGTTCGGATGAGTGCCATCCGTCAGTTGGATGATGGTTGCGCGCAGCACCGCTCGAGGCCCTCCCCTCCCTTGGCCCGCCCGCAATTAATGATCGTGGCAGGTTGCGAGCTCGTGTCATCGCCGCTTCGAGTTGGTGCTTACGGGATGGAGTGCAGGGCGGGGGGAGGCGCCTGTGTTATATTTCCGTGCGGGCGCAAATGCCGGCAGGCAATGCTTGGGCAATGCAGTGCGCGGGGCGACGATCAAACGTCTGGTGCAAGGACAAGTGCCGCGCGCATGCTGGAGACACGCCAAGCGCACGATTGCATTGCAGTGCCACTTAGAGGCCTACGGAAGGCTCGGAAGGTCGAGTCGTAACGCAGATTCTGCTCTGGAATGCATCTGCAATCCATAAATGCATAGTATGAGTCGCTCGCTCGAAGTTCTTGCGGCGGCTTGATGCGTCGCGGGGTCGGCCGTGGCCGGACGGGGAACGCAGATCTGGGGTTCCCGCACCCGCGCCGCGGTGTCGGGGCACGCGCGATAAGGGTGCCCAGATCTGGCATCACGCGCGCGCGGATGTCCCGACCCCGCCGTCGCGCGCGCGGGCTCTGTTGCAGCAGTGGCAGGCGGCGGGAGGGCAATTTGCGTGATACATATATGTCTCGGCGACGGGAAGAGTGGTGTGTGTGGGCGGATGATGGGAGCGGGTCAGCGGTTGCGCTGCGATCGAGGGAGAAGAGGAGGAGTGATAAGAGAAGGAGGGACGCGGGATCTGAGATGCAAGGCTGAGGACGACTCTCCGCTCTCGACCTCAACCGCGCTGCTTTCCCACAGCCGTTGCTTGTCTCCTTCTCTTCTCCATACCATGGTCTCCGCTGCTGCCTCTGCCTCTGCCCTCGCCAACAAGGACGACGCTGCCGCCGTCGTACACGGCCTCAGCTACCCTCCAGACTTCCTCTCCTCTCTCCCCGTCCTCCTCTCTCGCCCTGCCCCCCATACCCCCATCCGCGCCCTCTCCGCCTCCCAGTTCGCAACCCTCCATCATGCCGCTACTATCGCCCATGCACCTGACCATATCCTCTTCCCTTTCCTCCACGGCCTCGAGGGTGACAACGAGCACCAGAACTCGTTCTTCGCTGTCTCCCGCGACCACCCCGTTGTCCCGCCTCGTTTTCGCGGCCTGATATGGGTCGCCTGCGAGGACGACGACACCCCCGCTAGCGACGACGAAGATGACGACGACGGCTCGGTCCCTTCGGACGACTCGGACAGCGATGAGCACGACAGCGAGGCCGGCGATGTTGGCAATGCATTTGAGCTCGACATGGACATGGATATTGATGCCGACTCTGAACCCGGTCACGGCCCCCGTAAACCAGAGGCGCTCGACCCCTCGTCCTCCTCTCCGCCGTCGTCTACATCTGTGCCAGGAGAGGTTCCCTCCGACGGCTCGGATCCCAACAACGCACCGCATATGCACCCTGTGAAGAATCGGGCGCCGCGCATATACACCAATACGAACGTGGGCGCGGCACGCGACCGGAGCGCGTCGTCGTCGTCGAGCACGTCGTCGTCGTCGCAGTCGCTGGAGCTCCCATCACCGTCGACGC